GATACCCCCTGGGTGGCCTGGACACGAAAAAACACGCGGCTCCAGTTCGGGACCACCATGTTAGATACATCCTGGGTGGCCTGGACGCGTGAAAACACGTGGTTCCAGCTCGGGGCCACCATGTTAGATACCCCCCTGGGTGGCCTGGACATGTGAAAGCACTGGTTCCAGCCCATTCAGGGGAGATATCCAACATGTGGTCGTCCATGGCGCCAGCTAGGGGCAACCATGTTAGATACCCCCTGGGCGACACGGGCACGTGAACACAAATATTTCGCCTGAGGCATCCTCTGAATCCTGGCCACCGACGAAGCCCCCGCTCGAGACATCCCCCGCCTCTGCAAAACTAGCGTTTCGCCTGAGACATCCTCAGCAAATGGGTGTTCTTCCACGCCGAATGTGACTTTACCTCGTTATGTATCGCAACTAATTCCGCCAGCGGGAACCAAACACGCGTTTCGCTAGGGACATCCTCGATTTGCCCACGCCACATGTGACTTCACCTCGCTATTAATCGCAAATGATTCCGCATACGGAAACTGGGGGGGGGGGAACAAACCTAAACAAGTACCCTGGGCCCACGCCCTTTCAGGGAAAAGCGCGATTAAACCGAAACACTCCGATGCGAATTCCGAACAGGTTGCGATCCTGGTGGCAGAATTACAATCGTCGCCAGCTCTATCGGTATCACGGCCATCGTTCTTATCGTCAATATTGCAGCTGTAGTCGGCATCTCCACTGTCACAGAAGTTACCTACCATTGTGCCTTTCAGAAGTAAGTAGTGGAGCACTCTCCCCTCAGTCGTTGCCGACCCTTGGTACTGCAAGATCACGGGGTTGGAGGCTTGCAAGGCCGCGGGCACCGTACTGCTGGGGCTCGTGGCGGCTCTCGTGTTCAGTCGCGTGCTTGTTTCCCAGCCATGATTCTAACAGCTCGCTCGGATCGCCTTCGAGCCCGACCCTTGAGTCCGTGGGGTCCATCTTGATTGAGGCTCTCTTAGCTTAGGAAACACATTGGGTTCCCTATGGGCCTCATGCGGGCATCCTGGGTCGTCGTGAGGCCATGTTGGGCGCCTTTTGGTTCGTCTTGAACGCATCTGCGAGAAAAGAAAAGGATTTAAAAAAGACAAGCAAGCACCAAATATTATGTACTATGTTGACCTCTTGAGGGTTCTGACTGGAGCTGCATCGGGCTGAGACGCCTTGGAGTCACCTTGGCGCCTCCTGGCGTCATCGCTGGACTCTTGGAGCCAAGGATGAGCCTCAGGAACTTCCAGATGGCCCCAAGGTTGCCTCCGAGGGCCCCACGAGGGGTCCACGAAGACCCCAAGAGAAGCCCAAGAAGGACACTACGCGGCCCAGGAGGGCCTTAAAGGGGGGTCTGAGTCGCAGCGCTGCTTCCCGACATCCGATGCAGTGATCCGAATGGTGGTCATGGCCACTTCAAATGATACCGAGGAAACACCCACTCAAAGTCTTTTTAGGGTAGTAGGACTGTAGGGCTGTAGGGCAATTGGGCTATATGGCGATAGGATTATGGGGCTATAGGGCTATGGAACTATAGGGCTATAGTGCCATAGGGCTATAGGTCTATAGGGCTATCGGGCCATAGGGCCATAGGGCTATAGGGCTGTGGGGCTATGGGGCTATGGGGCTCTGGGGCTATGGGTCTATAGGGCTACAGGGCCATAGGGCTATGAGTATATAGGGCTATGGGGCTATAGGGCTATAGGGACACAGGGCTATAGGGCTATATGGGTATAGGGTTATGGGGCTACAGGGTATAGGGCTATAGGAATGTATAGAGCTATCGGGCTATTGGGATATAGGACTATAACGATATAGAGGTATAGGGATATAGGGCTACAGGGATGTTGGGCTAGAGGGCTAGAGAGCTATAGGGCTATAAGGCTATGGGGCTATAGGACTATGGGGCTATAGGGCTAGAGGGCCATAGGGCTACAGGGCTATAGGGCTGTAGGGCTGTAGGGCTATAGGGCTATAGAGCTATAGGGCTCTAGAGCGATAGGGCTATGTGGCTATAGGGCTATAGTGCTATAAGGCTATAGGGCTATTGGGCTACTGGGCTGTAGGGCTATAGGGCTATAGGGCTATAGAGCCATAGGGCTATAGGGCTGTAGGGCTATAGGGCTATAGGGCTACAGAACTATAGGGCTATAGGGCACCTGGGCACCCAGGCACCCAGGCACCTGGGCACCCGGGCGCCTGGGCATCCGGGCGGGCTGTGGAAATCGGCGGCAAAGCTCACCTAACCATATGAATCCGCAAGAACGCCTACAAAGGCAGGCTCTGATTGGGGACCATAAATCATCCTGCCACTCCTCCTCCTCCTCCTCCTCCTCCACAAGCTCCTCCAACTCCTCCAACTCATCTTCCTCCTCCTCCTCAACCTCCTCCTCCTGCTCCTCCTCCTCCTCCTCTTCCTCATCCTCCTCCCGCTCCTCCTCCCCCTCCTCCCCTCCTCCTCCTCCTCCTCCTCCTCCTCCTCCTCCTCTCCTCCCTCCTCTCCCTCCTTCTTCTCATCCTCGTCCTCGTCCTCATCCTCATCCTCCCACCCTTCATCTTTCTTGTCCTCACCCAACCCTACCTCCTCCTCCTCCTCCTCCTCCTCTTCCTCCTCCTCTCTCATCCTCCTCCTCTGTCTGTTCGTACTATTGCTCCTCCTCCTCCTCTCCTCCTCCTCCTCCTCCACCAGCTCCTCCAACTCCTCCAACTCCTCCTCCTCCTCCTCCTCCTCCTCCTCCTCCTCCTCTTCCTCCTCCTCCTCCTCCTCCTCCTCCTCCTCCTCCTCCTCCTCCTCCTCCTCCTCTCCTCATTCTCCTCATTCTCCTCCTCCTTCCTCCTCCTTCTCCTCCTCCTCCTCATCCTCCTCCTCCTCCGTATCCTCCTCCTCCTCCTCCTCCTCCTCCTCCTCCTCCTCCGTATCCTCCTCCTCCAATTCATCCGACTCCTCCTCGTCCTCCCCTTCCTCGTTTCGCTTGTCGGGCCGCGCCAGTCTCGCCCAGCGCTCCCCCCCCGCCAGAGCCACACTGGGTTAGGGACCGCGATCTCGCAAGCCAGCTCCCGAGCGCCAAACGTCGCCCACCCATGGCCAGAACCTCCGAGCCTTGTAAGCGCGAGCAGCGGGCCTGGTCAGGCCTGCCGCATCGCATCGGGTCCTGGAGCGGCTCCGTGCCCGTTGGAGGCCCTCACGCGAGACGCCGCCGGTCGGACGAGTGCTGTACCCCCCCCGAGAGATGGGCGGCGGTGACGCGCAGCTCCCGTCGGCGTGGACGCTCTTCGGCCCTCGGGGCCCCGGAGGCAGGTGGAGGAAGGGGGGGGCAGGGGGGGACCCGGCGAGGGAAGGCGGGAAGCGGAGGGGACGGAGAGGCCAGGGCTGGCGCCCAAGGGCCGAAGATCCCAGAGCTGGGGCGTGCCGCGACGACGATTCCCGCAGGGATGGCCACTGCGGGGCACGCCTGCCCCAAGTCGAGCGCAGCAGAGGGGTCCACGCAGTCCCCGCTCGGGGAGGGGACAGATCCCACGAGGTCCAAAGCGAAGGCCAGGGCCAGGGGTGCCGCAGACAGGAGGGAGAAAGGCGGGCCACCAAGCGCCAGGAACGAGGGGCCGCAGGCCAGTGCGCGAAGAGCCTGAGCGGCTATCTCCCCTGGGCGACGCGGCTGCGGTGCTGGCCCGCGCTCAGCACGTGCAGGGGCGTTGGCCCGAGCAGCCGCGCAAGCGCGCAGGGACGCGCTTGCGCGGCTGAGGGGGGGGGCTCAGGCGAGGCCCGGCCCCACCGCTCGCGGCGGCCTGGCCACGAGGGCGTGACCGCACAGCGCGCGCGTGCTCGGCCCACTCGCGCAGCCGCGCAGGTCACTGCCCGCTGGCATTGGCCCTCGCGGCCGCGCAATCGCAGGTCGCTGAGGGGACGCAGGCGAGGCCAGATCGAACCGCGTGCGGCGGAGCGGCTCGAGGGCGTGACTGCGTGCGCAGCACGCTGGCTCGGCCCCGCGCAGTGGAGAGCGAGAAGTAGGCCAGGGCGGCGTAGTGCGGCCACTGGTACCTTTTACGCAGGGCGCAGGGATGCCGCGCCGTTGGGTCCGCCGGACGGCAATGGCATCTGCGCCTCCTCCTCCTCCTCCTCCTCCTCCTCCTCCACCTCCTCGTCCTTGTTCTTTTCCTCCTCCTCCTTCGCCTCCTCCTCCTCCTCCTCCTCCTCCTCCTCCTCCTCCTCCTGCGGTCAAGAGGGGCTCGTTCGTCACCCGCCACACCCTCTAAACTACACCTCCAGCAGCCAATTGAACTCCTCCACCGCGCCTCCAACAACGGCCTAGCCGTCCTTCTCCTCCTCCTCCTCCTCCTCCTCCTCCTCCTCCTCCTCCTCCTCTTCCTCATCCTCCTCCTCCTCATGGTATGCTTCATCAAGTTTGTTATCCATATTAATAATACTAGTGTTATTGTTCATATTGTTAGTAATATCGTTAGCATGTTGTTTTCGTTATGTGAACGATGAATATAAATATAAATTTCATTGCAATGCTTATGAGTAGTATGACTTATTATAACTAGTATTCCTACTGTTTTGAGTATTATCATTTGTCTTCATCCGCCTCCTCCTCCTCCCTTTCCTCCCTGTGGCTCATCCAGATCATTCCTCGGGAGGGGTCCAAGGGCATACGCTTTGTTGGCTGTGACTTGTCCGATCGCGCCCTTGACCCACAATCCAGGCACAATGGCAGGCTGGGCCGTGGGCAACTGGACACTATCCCGACTTCAGTTCCAATAACGGCTGCGACGAGGATGGCACAGGCACCGCTGTCGCCCCATCGCCATCGTAGAAAGAAAGGTCATGGAATTTGCTGGCGCCAGACACGGAAATGGCTCTACAACTGCAACGACTGCCATACTCCATCCTCCTCGTCGTCACCGTCTTCGCCAGCCTTGCCCGCGGCACTCAGAGACGCAGCTCGATCGTCACTGATGAGGTGTGTCGGCGGGGCCAGTCCTCCGAGTCCAGGAAGATCGGCGACTCCATGCCTGGGCGCGCTTGCCATCATCACTGAGGCCGCCAGGGCAGCGCGGAGGGGGATGCGGGTTGTCGCCGAGGTGCCGGGCACCTTCTGATTGGCAGGAGGCCACGGGGGGTCTGGAGACACGAGTGGTCCAGTCCTGGCCACGCTGAGTTCTCGTCGCATTTATCTCACACCATTCCTGGCCGAGTGATGCCTCCGAAAGCCCCCCGGTTGAAAACATGCCAACGACGGAGGGCTGTATATCCCGAGACCCCCCCTCACGCCCTCTTGCAGGATTGGCATGGCCACGCGGGGGGCTGCGCAGGAGGAGGGTCTCCAAGGGAGGAGGCTGAAGGGGAGGCTTCCTTTCCCATGACTTTGCGTACCCTTTTCCAGCGCTCCTGCATTTCCTCGCAGAACAAACAACATAATCAGTATTTCTCGGAGATCCGCGCAGATTTCTTGGGCCGAGGCTACGCTCCCCTAGTCAGGACCTCTGGCGCCGCCCCTGGCGCGATTCGAACGCCAAGAAGGTGATCCTGCGCCGATCCTAGAAATCAGTGCGGACCTCCGAATGAAAATGTTTATGCCATTGTTTGTCCCCCGGTGTCCTTGAGCTTCTCCTGGACTCCCACGCATGTGGGCTAAAGGAGTTGCCCCCGTGACGCAAGCCGCCCTGCACCGCGCTGTGCTTCACACATTGCTACGGTCATGGATTGGTGCCTGGCGTGTCGCGGCGGCGGCCCCGGGGACAAAAGCTATGCCCTGCAAGCGGACAGCTTGGCGGGGCGGGTGGCCGGGGAAGGCTCGGGACGTCGACACTGGGCAATCGGGAAATCGTTGGCGTGTCACGCCGAGGCGTGGCAACTAGGCCAGAAGTGGCGGCGCGATGCGCTGAGCAAACGCTCCAGAGCGGAACGTAGCAACATGTCGCTGGCGTGAACACCAGCAAAGGCACACACACACACACACACTCACTTGGTCGTCGAGGGCTGGGCCTGGCCGCGAGCCGCTCGGAGGTCCCGCACACACGCACACACACACAGACTCCATGGCGATCGCGGCCTCGCGCGCCGCGACGAGCGGAGCAAGTCGAGCAAGCAGCACGAACCCCGTCGCACGCAAGCGGGAGACGCAGGAATAAAGCATAAGCGCGCAGTCCTGGAATGTTCGCAGGAGCCCCACCTCATTCGCTGCATCCGCGGGCAGACGGAGCGCGCGGCCTCGGCGGGCCCCCGCGGGCCCCTCCGCGCGGGAAGCCGAAGGAGTCCCCAGAGAAGGAGGGAGACCAGCGGAAAACCCCACACGCATCAGCGATGTTGCAGCAAAACCTCTCTCCAAAGTCGGTGCTCCTTGCGGGGGATGCCCCCTTGGAAGACAGCCGTCTGAGAATCCTCAGTCGTGCAGGAGCATCATTTCTGGGACTCCAGCGCCCAAATACGTGAGTGCGTCAAAAACGCCATTCCGTGGCGCTAAGGCGACAGCCACATTTTGAAAAGAACCGCCCTCCGCCCTTGAATATGTCGCAAAGTTTTGAAACGAACGTGCGCGGCGCTAAGGCGACAGCAACATTTTGAAAACGCCCTGCCCTCCATCATGGACAATGCCACAAACTTGTTAGAGACGAATGTGCGCGGCGCTACGGGAACAACCACATCTTGAAAATCGTCCGCCCTGCATCCGCGAACCTGTCGCAAACGTTTAAGACGAATGCGCGCGGCGCTAAGGCGGTAACCACATTTTGAAAACGCCCAGACTTCCATCAATGAAACTGTTGGAAACATTTAAGACGAATGCGCGCGGCGCAAAGGTGAGAGCAAGATTTTGAAAACGGGCCACCCTCCTTCCGTGAAGCTGCTGCAAGTTCGAATCTTCAAGATCGCACATGGTGAGAATGTCTCAGGCGAATCGCCTGGCCCGCCCTACCGGCACGTCTGCGGGTGCGACGGGGAGGAGCCACAGTTAAGCACATTGGATGGAGGAGGAGGAGGAGGAGGAGGAGGAGGAGGCGGAGGAGGAGGAGGACGAGGAGTAAGATCCAGGAGGCCGAGGAGGAGGAGGACACGAGGAGCCGCAGGCCTCTCAACGCGGCATCCGCCACACGCCGTCGGCTGAGGAGTGGGCGCCTGCGACGGCCAGCGGCAGCTGCACAACCCAGGCAGGCTTCGCACAGGCAGCGAGCGCCCCGGACCCTGGTGGGCGCGGGAGGCACCGTGGCCTCCTCGACCTCCGGCGGGCTCGGAGAAGAGGCCCGGCATCGCCGGCCTCCCCGCCGAGGGGGAGGGGAAGCGGGCACAGCAGCCCCACGAAGCGCAGGCGCCGCGCCGCGTGCGCCTCGGAGGCCCTCCTCCTCTGGCGGCCGCGGAGGCCAGCGCAGGCGCCGAAGGGCCCCGCGGCAGCAGGACGGCGAGTTCTGCTGCCGGCGGGGCGGCGGCGCCGCAGACGGCGGCAAGGCGGGCTGCGAGGGCTGGGCCACCAGGGACTCTGCGGCCTGGCGGCGGTGGCTGCGGCAAGTGCGCCAGGCGCGGCGTGCTCGAGACGGGGTCCAGGTTCAGCGGCCCTAGGCGCGACGACCGCGCATGGCAAGGAAGGGGTTCAGGCTCAGCCTCACTCTACACCAACGCTCGAGGGTCTCTGACAAGACGAGGCGGCAAGCGTGATGGCAGCAGCCGAAAGCGCAGAGACCGCGATCGTAATGTTCCATCGGGCCGGCCCTGCTCATCCCTGGCCTTTGATGCCAACGTGCGCGGGAACCATGTGCGCGGGAACCGCAGGAACAATAACGATTCATCAACGTCAGCAGCGTTGGGAAAGGCGAGAGTGGGGAACGCGGTACCCGTGGGGCGCAAATCGACATACTTGTACTGTGCGCCCCCGTGAAGACGCACGTCCGACCAGACCCTCTGGTACAAACATCTTGTAGCATGCTGTAGTCCAAGCGGCATGGCCAGGCCACGCCCGGCGCGGTGCTTACACTCCAACATGTCTCAGTGTGCGCGCCGCACCTGTGGAAGCGATGTGAGCCTAGTACAGGAGTGTCTCAGTCTGGCCGAATTCAGGATATGACGAGGCTCGCGCGCCAGCTCCAGCATCCCAAAGATGATGGGGAGTGGGCTGACCTCTCCGCCGGCGCTTACACACGTGCGCGCGAGAATGGACCATCGAGTGCGGCGTTGTTCGCAGAGGCGAGAGCGGGGAGGAACACAAGGGCTTGGGGCCCATCTGGGGCGACAGATCTTGCCGAAATCGACGCATTCCGCCGCAACGCCGTCCACGGTATTCCCAAATTGGTTTGAGCCAACAGAATTACCGGCAGGCGCCCAGACGTGCCTCGCACCCAGAAAGGCTGGGAGCAAGACCTCGCCTCCTCCTTTTGTCTTGGCGCGCGGGATCGCTGGCACAAAGAAGTGAGGGAAGCGGGGACATGAATTGGAAGGGTGGGAGTAGAGGAAGAAAAAGCGCCATAAACATAAACTGGTGGCGCTCCGCGCAGATTTCTTGGATCCGCGCTGGACACCCCTCCCTGGCGCGCGGAGGGCGCCCGGGGCGGCGCCGGAGGCGCCGCTGGGGGGGCCCAGCGCGGATCCAAGAACTCCGCGCAGAACGCCCAAAGTCTATGTTTATAGCGATTTTTCTTCTGTGGCGCCCGAGGCAGGGCCGCGGGGCGACATGGCTGGGACGGCTCGCTCTGCACGAGAGCCAGGGGGAAGCCTGGCCTCGAGAAGGCTGAGGCTGCGGGGTGAACCTGGGGAAACCAGCCAGTACCGACCCAGAGATCCAGCGCATTGAAAAAATCGAGACGGAGGTTTTTCGCGATTTTCGGCCTCTGGGGGCCCTCGCCCCGCCCTGGGGCTGTCAAAAAACGACTCACGATGAAAAACCGGTCCTGGGGAATGGGACGAGAATTCCGGGGACCCCGTTTTGAAAAAAACACGACGTCGGATCTCTGGGGGTACCGCTACTCGCTGGGCCTCTCCCGGGGTGCATCCTGACCGGAACGCAGCGGTGCTGACAAGGAGGCCCCAGAAAGCGGAAACGAGGCACTTCGGGCAGCCGTAGCAATCTACGTCTTCCTCCTCTGAGAACCGCGGGAGCCCGACCGAGCCGGAGCCCCTGCCGTCTCGCTGGCCCTCCCACTGGGGCACGGCCCCGGGGGGACAGAACCTGGGCCCCCATCCCCCAACCCCCTCCCCCTCGGTCGCGTCATGATTCGCGCCGGCGCCGTCTGGGAAGGAACCGCTCTCGGGTACTCCAAGACGGCGCCGGCGCCCATCATGACGTGACCGGCCCAGCCCCCCCCTCCTGGCCCCTCCTGGACAGCGCCGGCATGACGCGACCGGCCCTCTCCCCCCCTCCACCCATCCACCCCTGGCCACGCCCGTTATCGCCAGGGGATAAAACAACTGCCTCCTGCCACTCTGGAATAGCGCCCGCTATCGCCCTGGAACAGGGCGCCGCGCGGAGATCCGAGGATCACGGGTACCCGTCAAACGAAGGCCATGCGATGCGGAAGAGCTGTGACACTAGCACCAATGACACTGCAAGAGGGCACGATATCCATTACCCACTGTAACGACGCAGACCAAAGAAAAATAAGAACAGTTGAAGTAGGACGGGAGCACCACCCACAGTGACGAAGACCTACGTGCGGCACACCAGCACGTGGATCAGCCGTGTAGGTACGACGGCACCACTGGGTTGCCAGAGCGGCCACTCCACTGCGTAGGTAGCTCCATCCCGCAGCCCGCAGTCAAACGCCAGAGGCTATCACGACACAAGAAAAGGGAGCAGCACAGCGGGCATTCCACACGAGCTGCACTTTGTGAGAGCATGGAAATGAGGAGCCAGCCGGGAGCTGCACGCATTCGATGCAAATATATACATGTGTGTAGATAAAGGTGTGCATCCTCGTGTATGCATACATAAAGGAAAAGAGACAGAGAGACAGAGAGAGAACGAGAGAGGTCGACGCGCTAGCTTGCCCGACCATGCTTCCCTCCCCCCTTGCTAGCCACGCATGTGAAATGGTTGGCCGTCCCAGAGAACCGCGTATGACTGCTGGATGCTCTGCTCGTAGAAGTTGTTCCAATTCTTGACGCATTAGCGCCGCCTGGGAGCAGTGGACAAAATGACTGCGTTAAAACGGAAAATGAAGACCGCTACGGAGCGCGAGATAGAGAGAAAAAAGTGAGAATGATAGAGACTAACAAAAGAACGGATGTGGAGACGGCGACGAAAACAGAGACAAAGGCACAAACAGAGACGATTGCAGAAGTGAAGGCGGGCAAAAACACAGACAAAAAGACGGAAAGGCTCAGGTATAGGGAGGCCGAACAGAAGCGTAGAATAATCACAGAATGGCAAGCAGATAATCTGGCAAACAAGTACGCAGGCAGGCAAACGGCTGATAACCATATAGAAAGCCAAGCAAGCGCACGGACGGACAGCATTCCTGGTCCGTCGTCGGCCACATCAACATCGCATTCTGGGGAACTACCGACACCGGTTTCCTGTGGAGCGTGCCGTCGACACCGCCGCCTGGGGCCAAGCGGCCACAGACACACTAGAGCCCATAGTTTTGTGCTGCACCCCCACACCTGCATGGGGCCGCTCTGGGACACTTTGGGAGGCCTCTTGGGCCGTCTTGGACGCCATTACCTTTGCCCCCGACTTTACCACACTCGTTTTTTCGATGTGTCAGAACGTCCAAGACGGCCCAAGAAAAGCCCCCAAGATCGTCTCAAGACAACCCTAAGGCCCAACAGGCCCTCAAGAAGGCCAGAACGGGGAGGGCCACGAGGAGAAAGTTTGTGGGGTCATCAACCCCAAGATGGCAACCGAGGCCAGCCTCCAAGCCCTAAGATTAGGTCGGGCATGTCCTCCTACATTCGGACTTTGGACGAAAAACAAAAAAATCAAAAACAATGAAAAATGGTCACAACAAAAAAAGGGAAAACTTCACCATACTAGAATTCCCAACCGTACTGTGGTGTTGGGTCCTCGTTTTGAAGAGACGGTGCCCCGCGCTCGTGTCCTCTCATCCTTCCCGCCCTCCTCCCCCTCCTCCGTCCCCCCTGCGTTTCACCCACCCGGCACAGCGCTTCGTGGCCCCATAAGGGGGTTCCAGCGAAGGCGCCAGGGGCAAGGTTCGCATGGCGGCCTCGGGCCATGCCGGCGCACCCCTCACGAGGATCGTGGCCCCATACGGAACTCCACCGAAGGCTCCAGTGGCAGGGTTCGCATGGCGGCCTCGGGCCATTCCGGCACACCCCTCACGAGGGTCGTGGCCCCAAAGGGAGCTCCACCGAAGGCGCCAGTGGCAGGGTTCGCATGGCGGCCTCGGGCCATTTCGGCACACACCCCACGAGGATCGTGGCCCCAGAGGAAGCTCCACCGAAGGCGCCAGGGGCAGGGTTCGCATGGCGGCCTCGGGCCATGTCGGCACACCCCTCACGAGGATCGTGGCCACATAGGGAGCCCCACCGAAGGCGCCAGCGACAGGGTTCGCACGGCGGCCTCGGGCCAATTCGGCACACCCCTCACGAGGATAGTAGCCCCAGACGGAGCTCCATCGAAGGCGCCAGTGACAGGGTTCGCATGGCGGCCTCGGGCCAATTCGGCCCCCCCCCCCCACGAGGATCGTGGCCCCAAAGGGAGCTCCACCGAAGGGCCCCAATGGCAGGGCTCGCGTGACGGCCTCGGGCCATGTCGCCACGCACCTCGCGAGGATCGTGGCCCCAGAGGGAGCTCCACCGAAGGCGCCAGTGGCAGGGTTCGCATGGCGGCCACGGGCCATTTCGGCACGCCCCTCACGAGGATCGTGGCCCCACACGGAGCTCCACCGAAGGCGCCAGTGACAGGGTTCGCATGGCGGCCTCGGGCCAATTCGGCCCCCCCCCCCCGTCACGAGGATCGTAGCCCCATAGTTGTGCTGCTTCAACAACCGCGCCTGGGCGTGGTACTCCGCCTTGTCGACGTGCAAAGCCACCTCCTCCATGGCTCTCCAAGCCCTCTCCTGCTTCTGTTCGTCGGTCGGTGGGACGCCGTCCTTGTCGTCGTCGGCGCCCGCGAAAACGGCCACGAACGCGTTCCTGACCATGTCGGGCTCCGGCGGGAAACCGTGGCCACATAGGGAGCGCGGGCGAAGATGGTATTCACAATTGCGGTATGCACAACTACATATGGTTGGGTCCTTCGCCAGGCTATGTTTACTGTTCTTGGATACTCCTCCTGTAGAGGGACGAGCCCGACTTCACCCTAAAGGAGGCGCCAAAGGGGCCCCGTTGCCCGAAGGGTACGCCAAGAAAGACCCTGCAAGAGGACCCCGGGCCAACGACCCAGGCACGCAGTGGCGGGAACGGGCCGAAGGCCGCCTCGGGAGACCCTGCGTCCACCTGCCGCCTGCTTGCAGAGCCAGCCTGCCTGGAATGACACGCTCGAGATAGCACAGCCGGCACCTGGTGGCGAACGCATTCTGGCTCAGCGCTTCGACGTTGGGCGGCGGGGGGTCTGGAGGAGGGGAGGGAGGGCTCCGGACCTCTGCGGAACGCGACTGCTTGCAACCGTGCGTCCCGAGGGAGACTCCACCTGTTCGAAACAGGTGCCAAAAACAGCCAAGCTCTACTCTAATGTATGGGGGGAGGGAGTGCGAGGGCCCGCGCCGATCGGCAAAACAATGAATAAGAAAACGATCACGTGTCTGGTGGTAGAGTCTCTACCCAGGTGAACTTGTTGCTGCTTCACTGAGGCGGTGGCCGATGTGATTTACCTCGGTGCATCCTGCCAGAGGCCCTCGGTTTAAAAATGTTGACGCCTCACGTTGGCTTTCGCCGCTCTCTGCCGCCCTTCCGCCGACGGCGCGGGGCGCGACAAGGGCGCGGAGCGCAGCCGTACAGGTCGCGGCTGCCGCGCCGCGGAAGTTCACGAGTGTTGTTCGTTTACAGATGGGAGCGAACAGCGCGGTCAAATCTCCATCCGTCTCAGCCTGCAGCGCGAGGAGAACAGGTTGCGCAATTGCAGGGGCAAGCACTGAGTGAACTTGGAGGCGGCCAGGGGGGTCTGAGCTGATTGGGATCCCAGAAAATCAGCCTGGAGAGGGCGATGAGGCCAAATCCGCTCAAAATTAGTGCCCGGACTCCTTCTGGGGTGCATCTGGTGCAATGATTCACGGTCCTGGGCCCCGAAAGCGGCCCCCAGAGGCGGAAAAAAGCAAAAGACCTTCCCGAACCCAGAGCCTCGAACCTGTTCCCCCTTCCTGCTGGCCGGAACCAGTGCTGGGCAACCTCAGACCACCAGACGGCTCCCAGAGTGAACAGCCCTCGGGGCAAGCACTCG